GAACTATGAGATTCCTACTGCGATTAGAGTCACCCCTTCTGTTTTATTCTTTTTCAGGAAAGAATTCGGATTCATTAGTTGAAGAGTAGGATTCCATGTACCGTTTTTGTACTAAACTTTATCATAGATGTTAGGAATAAAAAAAAAGTATCTTGTGGTTTGTAATTAATTATTTGTAGCTCCGCTGCGGAAGCACGTATATGTTTTGCATTCGTTATGAGAGTGAGAATCTAGTTTATTATGTTTCTATACTCAAGTGTAGATAGTTATTTATATATCAGATTAAAAAAAAATGACCTAATTTCACAGGCTTTAGTAATGTTTTCGAGTATAAAATCAGGACGTTCATTGTGTAGATTATTTCTATTGGGCTTTTGCTCATCCCTAATTTGGAAAAACCATTGTCAGGCGCTGTGATATGTCTCACAAATTAAGCTTGGGAGGCTATGAGCCTGAAGGCTTAGATTTTTTTTTGTATTCAAATTTGCTAACAAGCCTAGAGCTATTGTATTGAGCTTAAGACGCACTTTGATGTACCCAAGCCTTGACTTGAGCATATGTAATCTTAGGGCATATGATTATATGTTAGCTTTAATTCTCTTTTTACTGTTTGTACACATATTGTAGTATTCAAGATGTACTATTTATGATGATATCGGGGGGGCCCCATAAATTTTTTTCCCCCCACCTTTTGTACAACCGATTTCATGTAATAGAAGGATATCATACTTGAGCCATATTTGTTATTTATTTTCAATTTGGATGATTTATTGCATAATTATTTTGAGACGTACAGTAGAAACACCTTTTGATGCCCACCAAACCAGCAGGACCACACCTTGTAGTCATCACAACAGCATCAAGATGGCAATACTTACTACTGATAAGCACAATAGACATCTCCCCTTGAATCGAGGCCAACTCAACCTTCACCAATGCATACCTCTGATTTAGTTAAGATTGAAAATAAAGTCACTCACAGAGTAGTGTAGATCCTTGAATGAGGTCTATGTATTGCAGAAATCATTGTAGGAACTGGTCCCTGTAATCTGTCAAAAACCTTGAGAAAGTAACTAGAATTTACCCTAAAAAAATACATGTTGCACCACTCTAACATTTACCAATAAATTAGAACTTCGTTAATTTATTTAAGAAGCCCCTCTACTCATTGCCAATTTAGTTTGTTAGATGATTTAACATGATATAAAAGTTATGTCTTGTTTGTAGTCTCCACTGGTTAGTCTCCATCCACCCAATCTATTATCGGGGAGTGGTAAGTGGTTAGACTTGTAGGTCCATGTTCTTTCCCCGAAGGATGGTTGTTGTCGGGATATGGGATCTACCACAGAGAATGAGGTTCAGATGCTGAGCAATCTCTGTTGATTGGCCTCAAGCATGAACAACTTTTGACATTGAGGGCGATCATCAGGGTTTCTTGAACCAGCAACAATGCGATGTTAATCCATATGCAACCTTTCTACAGGACAACTGCCGATCAAGTTTCTATCAATCAACTCTTGTGCTTGCCACATTCCCAGTAGTCGCCCATGCCCGTGGCCCCCCATCGTTCGAAATATATCCCTATTGAGTTCAAAAGATTGAACAAAAAATAGAAATGATTGATCTTACCAAGTTCAACAATAGATGAAATGACCTACGTACATTTTGTAGAAAGCTTCGGGTGCGTGCTGGGAGATTGAAAGCTACATTATTTTTTCTACCACTTATGAGTTCTAACAGTGTAGAACTCCAAAGCTATTAAACATCAGATTTTATTGAAAATATTCCTCCATTGCAGGTACTCTGGTTGCCAGTATCCACTATCAAAAGCAAATATTGAATTAGACATGAAAAATTATGAAAGCAAACACTCTAGATTATTACATGGAGGAAACTCATTTGTATAGAATGACCTCGCACATAGCATGCTACATGTACATGCTAATATGGTGACATTAATTTGACCCCATGAACTTGAAATATGTTACATATATATGATAGTTTTAAATAACTTAGCACCAATTCTGCATACTTTAATAACAAACACTTGAAGAAATTTTCATCACACAAAAAAATTAATATAACCAATTTTTGAGTTAAAGTAAACAGGAGGTTACAACACAAGCGTCACTCTTGCATCTTCAGGTTTTTGAGCTTTGATGCAAATCACTCGAAGTTGCTGTATGGCAAAGGTTAAGACTTTGAAATGTGTGATCGAAATTATTAGGCCAGTCCTAGATAGACAAAGTTAAATCTACACCACTCCTCAAATTTTGGACACTTTTCTAAGTGCTAGGATTTTTTGAAAAATCTACAATTTCCAGAGGAGTGGGTGTGAGTAGTAGTATTTTTCTTATTCCAAAAATGATAAAAATTCAGGAGAATATGATCTAGTACCCGACAATTCTGTTGGTGCGGCATCAGTTTTGTCTAGTGTAGAGAAATCCTGGCGGTCCAAAGTTATATCTTTGGCTTCATTCGGTCGAGATGCGCGCGATAGTGAGGTGAGAGGATGTGCTGGCTTTCATGTCTTCTATTGTATTATGTGACGCTAGAGTCCTCGTGGTAGATACAAAAGTCCTCTCGTGCTCAGAGCGTTGATGGTTTCCTCGCTTAGTCCTCAATCTAGTTCCTACATTTTGTAGAATTGACAAAAAAGAAAAGAAGAAAAAGAAAAAGAAAAAAGAGAGGTTAAAATAGCCATCCTTGATTACATTGTGGAATTAGACCAAATGACAAATTGCAATGCTAAAGTTGTCTGCTAAAATTTCATTAAGAAATGATAGAGATTGGTGCTATTTGGCGCTAGTTATTCGAAGTTTAAAGCTGATATTCAAAAGCATATACTCTCTCATGATTGTTAGATAATCACTTTTGTGGTTTTTCAGGTTTATTTAAAGCTATTTGCTTTTTAATAAACTGTAAGCAGAAGCCTGCGGCCAAATTCAGTATGATACAGACTCCTAAATAATCAACAAGAATTGGTTACGTATGCTCAAATAAGTTGCATAAAACAACCTAGAGAAAGCCGAACCAAGATATTAATGTATGTCGTAGTAACGTATTGTTGGCCATGTGTGTTACGAGTATGTATTGTGTTTTTTTTTTTTTTTTTTTTTTTTTTTTTGAGCTTTTCATCTTTCTCAAAGCAGCATACCTAATACTCATCTATATACTAATTATATTCACTTGACTTCAGTCTGAACTCTTCAAGACTTGCCAGAGTTTGCTTGATTATCTTTAAACAGGCTGATTTCTTTCCATCTCATGAAGCTTTCCACTGAATAATGTGAATGCATTTCAAACAAAAATTTCAACGCAGACAGATTGCTACACAGAATATACTAGGAAAAATATGTTTATTATGCATTATTTATCAGGGAAAAGCTTGCATTGATGGGAAAGGGAAATAGCTTGTTAAAAGATTATCAAGCAACTCTGGGCAAGGTCTTGAAAGAGTTCAGGACGGAAGTCAAAGTTGATAGTAGTAAAACTTCAACACAGAAATCTTGTGAGGCTCTTAGGTTGCTGCTTTGAGAAAGATGAAAAGCTCCTAGTCTATGAGTATATGGCCAACACTAGTCTTGATGCCTTCCTCTTTGGTTTGTGCTTTCTCTAGGGTTGTTTATTGCAACTTATTTGAGCTACTTACAACTTCTTGTTTTTTATTTAGGAAGTCTGTATCATACTGATTGGCGCAGCTTCTGCTTACAGTTTATTAAAAAGAAATAGCTTAAATAAACTGAAAAAAAAAAGTGATTATCTAAGAGTTGAGAGAGTTATGCTTTTGAATTATCAGCTTTAACTTCGAATAACTAGCGCCAAATAGCACCAATCTCTATCATTCTCTTAATGAATTTAGCAAGACAACTTTACATTGCAATTTGTCATTTTGGTCTAATTCCACAATGTAATCAACGGATGCTATCTTTAACCTCTCTTTTTTTCTTTTCTTTTTTTCTTTTTCCTTTTTTGTCAGATTCTACAAAATGTAAGGAACTAGATTGGGCTAAGCGAGAAAATATAGTCACTGGAATAGCGAAGGGACTTTTGTATCTACACGAGGACTCTAGGCTCAAAATCATCCATAGAGACATGAAAGCCAGCAATGTTTTATTGGATGGTGAGATGAACCCAAAGATATCAGACTTTGGGACCGCCAGGATTTCTTATGACCAAATTGATGCCAGCACCAACAGAATTGTGGGTACATAGTAAGTCATTTCTTCCTTGAATTTTTATCCATTTTTAGAAATAAGAAAAATATATATATCTCATGGAAAATTGTAGATTTTCAAAAATATCTATGCACTTAGAAAGTGTCCAAAATTTGAGGAGTGGTGTAGATTTAAACTTTGTCTAATCTAGGACATGCCCTAATAAATTTGATCTACACATTTCAAATTCTTAACACTTTCATACATTCACAACTTCGAATTTGCATCAAAGCTCAAAACCTGAAGATGCAGAAGTGACGCCTTGTGTGTAACTCTGTTTATTTACTTCAAAAATTGTTATATTATTTTTTTGTGTGATGAAATTTCTCTCAAAGGTGTTGTTATCTAAAGTATGCAGAATTGTCTAAGTTTATTTAAACTATCATATATATGTATACATATTTTCAAGTTCATGGGGTCAATTAATGTCACCATATTAGATGTACATGTAGCACTGCCTATGTCGAGGTCAATCTATACATAATATTTCACTCCATGTAATATCTAGAGTAGTTTTGCTTTCATCAATTTTCATGTCTAATTCAATATTTTGCTTTTGATAGTGGATACATGGCACCAGAGTACGCAATGGAGGGAATATTTTCAATAAAATCTGATGTTTATAGCTTTGGAGTTCTAATGTTAGAAATCATAAGTGGTAGAAAAAATAATGCTAGCTTCAATCTCCCAGCACGCACCCAAGGCTTTCTACAAAATGTACGTAGGTCATTTCATCTAATTGTTGAACTTGGGTAAGATCAATATTTCTATTTTTTGTTCCAAATTTTTGAACTCAATAGGATATTATTTCGAACAGGCATGGCGACTATGGAATGATGGCAAAGCACAAGAGTTGATTGATAGAAACTTGATCGGCAGTTGTCCTGTAGGAAAGGTTGCCATATGGATTAACATCGCATTGTTGTGCGTTCAAGAAAACCCTGATGATCGGCCCTCAATGTCAAAAGTTGTTTTCATGCTTGGAGGCCAATCAACAGAGATTGCTAAGCCATCTGAACCTCCATTCTCTGTTGGTAGATACCCCATATCCGATCAACAACCATCTATCGGGGAAAGAACAGGACCTACAAGTCTAACACTTACACTCCCCCGATAATAGAATTGGATGGATGGAGACTTAACCCAGTGGAGATCACCCAAGACATAACTTTTATATCATGTTAAATCATCTAACTCAAAACTAATTGGCAATGAGTAGAGGGGCTTCTTAAATAAATTAACGAAGTTCTAACTTTATTTGTGTTAAATGTTAGAGTGTGAACATGTATTTTTTTAGGGTAAATTCTAGTTACTTTCTCTAAGGTTTTTGACAATTACAGGGACCATTCCTACCATGATTTCTGCAATTACATAGACCTCATTCAAGGATCTACACTACTCTGTGAGTGACTTTATTTTCAATCTTAACTAAATCAGAGTATGCATTGGTGAAGGTTGAGTTGGCCTCGATTCAAGGGGAGATGTCTATTGTGCTTATCAGTAGTAAGTTGCATCTTGATGCTGTTGTGTTGACTACAAGGTGTGGTCTGCTGGGTTTGGTGTGCATCAAAAGGTGTTTCTACTGTAACGTCTCAAAATAAATGCAATAAACCATCCAAAATGATAAGTAAATAACAATATGAATCAGAGTATGATATCCTTCTATTACATGAAATTCGGTTGTACAAAAGGGTGACATATGCGATATACATTCATAAATAGTACATCTTGAATCTACAATATGTGTTACAAACAGTAAAAAGAAATTAAAGCTAGACATATAATCATATGCCCTAAAGACTTACATATGTCCAAGTCAAGGCTTGGGTACATCAAAAGTGAGTCTTAAGCTCAATACAAATAAAGCTCTAGGCTTGTACCAAATTGAATACAAAATAACAAAACTAAGCCTTCAGCTCCATAGTCCTCCCAAGCTAAGTCCTTGGTGAAGACATATCATCAGCGCCTGAAAATGGTTTTTCCCAAATAGGATGAGCCAAAGCCCAATAGAAATAATCTAACACAATGACACGTCCTGAATTTTAATTACTCGAAAACATTACTAAAGCCTGTAAATTTAGGTCCATTTTTTTTTAATCTATATATATAACTATTACACTTGAGTAATAGAAACATAATAACACTAGTTCTCACTCTCAACGAATGCAACAACAATAATACGTGCTTCCGCTACGGAGCTACAAATAAATAATTACAAACCACAAGATACATTTTTTTTTATTCCCTTAACATCTATGATAAAGTTTATACAAAAAGGTACATGGAATCCCTACTCTTCAACTAATGAATCCGAAATTCTCTTCCTGAAAAAGAATAAAACAACGAGGGGTGAGCTCTAATGCCCAGTAGGAATCTCATAGTTCTACAACAATAGCTAACACATAGATAGACATGATTATGCATGCAGAGTGATACCATATAGTAAGGTGACATTTTGTAAGTTCAAAATATTATACGAAAAGTATTCACCTTGCTTGTTTCCACTTTTCAAAAAACACTTTTCAGAAAATTATACTTTCTTATTTTCCGTATTTTTTTGTTTTTACTGAATTTTTTAATATTTTAAGCAATTTTTTACTTTTTAGACACACCTAACATAAATACACCTAAAAAGTAAAAAAATTATAAAAAAAATATTTTAAAAATTCACTAAATACCAAAAATACAAAAAAAAAATACAAGAATTCAGTACATTTTTATATTTTTATGTATTTATTAATTTTTTAAAATATTTTTTCACAAATTTTTACTTTTTAGATATATCTAAGTAAGGCTGCATCTAAAAAAGTAAAAAAAAGTTTAAAATTGAAAAAATATTCACTAAAAACAAAAAAACACAAAAATCAAAAAATTCAGTTTTCAAAAAACTTAATCCAGAAAACTCAAACCAAACACATTGATTCTTTCTTAAAATTTCACTTGAACCTTTAAGAAAACTCGCTGTCATAAATGTAGTCTCTCATCATTAGGAAGCCATAAATTTTCTTTGAAAACAAGTACACTTAAGGAAGAACATCATCTTAAATTCATTAACTCGATTCCAAATTATTCCTCATTTCGTTTCCATTTTAATATTCCACATTTCATTTCCATCCCAATATTACACATTTCATTTCCATTTCCAATTACCATACTCCATAACATCAAAATCCAAAGGATTAGAGTTCAAACATAACACAAAAATCACAAACCTTTTTTTTTATTCAATTTTCCAATTACTTACAAAACAAAGCTCATAATCTTCCCTTTTGTCACAAGCAATCCATTGAGTTCATCATCACTAGCCCCTAATCCAATTACCCACATGATGCCAATTCTAATCCTTAATCCATTTTTCTTCAGTTTATTTATTCTTCTCAATTCATGAGTCAATTTCATTATCTTTCAACAACCAAACTGAGGCTACAACTCAGTGGTTTTCCAATCATACAAAACACACATAAACACTTCAAACTACTATTTTACGAAAATTTCGCCTGAGGGATCGACATCTATGTATAAATTTCAGGATTTTCACCCAGGACACTCCGACCAACTTAGTTATAATGGAGTCCATCCCCTTTCTCCTCCCAAACAAACATACATATACAATGTATTTTATCACATAATCACACATGAAGTACATCCCCTTTCTCCTCCCAAACAATCATACATATACAATGTATTAAAACACACAATCATATTTAATGACAACCATTTGTCAAACTTATCATATCATTTACTCTTTTCAACTAGCACAATTCATGTGATCCAAAATATGATTTTCAAAAAGAAACAAGTGCACTTAAAACATAACACAAGAATTTCCAAAATCTTTTTCCAAAACATACAGTTTAAATCCTCAAAATCCATTGTATGCTCCATGATATGCATGATTTATAGATAGTCCGGTTTGCCTGGTCAAAATGCAATTTCTACAACAATCATAGCTATCCTCTATCGATCGTCCAAAACAAATATATCTCAACCGATAAATAAATTCCTTTAAAGATACGCCTTTTTTCAAAATCTCATATAGGAGTGATAATGCATATCAAGCTCCACCATCATCATTAATAATCCTCCAATTTCACTTTTACAAAGACAATTTCAATTATTTATACAAAATAACAATTTGATCCAATTAGGACAAAACTCCCTCTTTTTTTTTCTTTTTTTTTTTTTTTCAAATATCAACCCAAACTCAATACAACCCAACACAACTCAACTTAATTCAATACAACTCAACGTAGTCAACACAATTAAACATAATCAACACAATTCAACATAATCAACACTATTCAACATGATTCAATTCAACATCATTAAATGCAATTCAACATAATTCAAGGTGAACTCTCAAATCTCCATTTCATCATTTCATCCCAAGTCTCACGCCATCCATATCATTAACAAATCTTTTTCCCCAAATTTCATTTCATATTATAGCATGATTTACAATATCCATAATAAAAGTTCATTCGCTAATTTTTAACATAATTTTCAAACACTTCCAAAATTCAATTAAATTGGTATATGTATAATTCAATACCTCAATTTCATGATTCTACTTTCAATTTGAGCAAAATCATTATTTATCATCATGAATCAACTTAGGGTTTTTAAGAAAATCAAGTATTTCAAGAAAAATTCAAACTTCTTAAACCATTACTTTTTATTCTAATTTTTCCATTGATTATACACCTAAGGTTCACAGTCCACCATCTTAACCCAACAATTGAACCCCCAACACTTCAAACCCTAAACCCCCAAATCTCATAATGTACACTATATGCTCAAAAATGTCAGTTTTGTATGTATATAATCAAAATACCACAAATCTATCTATTTATGGAAGTATTGAAGAAGAACTAGGACCCCTACCTCAAGAATCAAGCAAAGGAGCAAAGCTTCGAGAAGAATCCTTTGCAAATCCGAATTCCAATCGGTTGAAAATGTTGAGTTTCAAGCCTTCTTCACTTTTTGGTAAAAGATCTTGGCCCATCCTTAGGGAAATAGAAGTTATTTGAGGTAAAAAACCTAGGGTTTTCAGACCTAGGGTGAGAGGAATGAAGAAGGAAAAGGAAAATGCAAAGAATGAGCTAAAAATCACGTTTTTAAGCTGCTGAATTCGCGCAGTTCGCTCGAGCGTATCTTTCCACGCTCGAGTGTACCTACTTCCAACACAGATATGAAAACTTCAAACGGGTATAAATCTCTCATCGGGACTCTGTTCTAGGTTGTTCTTGTGTCCAAATTGAAGCCCTGGAAATAAGCTTTCCAATGGTTTTGGCCTCATATTCAAATTCAAAGTATGGAAGGAGAAAAGGGCAAAAAGGTGAAGGTTGGTTAAAAACTCAAACTGAAACTTGGGGCTTTTTATCCAATCTTACCTAAATACCTTGTTAAGACTTCAATCAAGGTTCCAAACATCACCCAAGGGTCCTCAATTATAATATTTAAGGTTCACTTGTCAACCCATCAATGTCAAGAGTCCGACAACCACTCAAGTTTTAAGGTGACGGACACCACTATACATCAATCCAATGTGAATTAAAATTCGAGTCATTACAATCTTCCCACCTTAAGAAATTTCGTCCCCGAAATTGCATCCGTTCTAACAAAAATAGCAACAACCTTATACTCACCAAGTCTTAACAACTCCTAATCCAAAAATAAAGCATGAGAGCACCCATATATATATCCACCAAACCTTAACAACTTTCAGTTACACCTTATTTCAATTCTAAGCCCAAAAATACCAAATGTCACACACAATGTATGAATCTTAACAAAGATATAAGGGTGAAATGCATATGCAATGCCCATGTCAAACTGTTTCACATTTTTTTCTCAAAATCATGCCATGCTTAATTTATATCACAATTCTCAAATCATGTCCTCTACCATAGGAAACAAGGGGGATTTCTCAAACACGTACGACCTTTCACAGATATTTCGTCCGTGAGAAACCGTCAAACGACACCCATGTAAACGTAGTCTATACAAGTACTACTATTGCCATTTTACAGATATTTCATCCGCGAGAATTGTCACCCATGTATGCGTGCGTTTTTCAAGACTTTCACCCTGAACACACATGCTAACTTAATTTGGTGATACATGCCTCTTTCCAACATTCACCCATTTTCTCAAATTCATATACATATGCAATGTATTAAATGAGCAACAATGTTCAATGCACATGGATGAGAAATTAGTTTCA